TTTCTTTTCTTTTCTTTTCTTTTCTTTTCTTTTCTTTTCTTTTCTTTTCTTTTCTTTTCTTTTCTTTGAGGCAGAGTCTCACTCTATCGCCCCACCCAAGCTGGAGTGCAGTGGCGTGATCTTGGCTCACTGCAACCTCCACTGCCCAGGCTCAAGCAATCCTCCCTCCTCAGCCTCCTGAGTAGCTGAGACTAGAAGTACGCACTACCACTCATGGCTAATTTTTGTATTTTTTGTTAAAAATAGGGTTTCATCATGTTGCCCAGACTGTGCTTGAACTGCTGGGCTCAAGCCATCTACCCACTTAGGCCTCAAAAAGTACTGGGACCACAGGCGTGAGCCACCATACTTGGCCATGATTGTTCCTTTTAGTCCAAGATTTACTTGCAAGGTCACTTTAACAAAAGTAAAATAATATTTTCTTCATCTAATCTCTATGATGGCTTTTATTATTAATCTTGCTAGCCTAATGAATCTAATGCACACATGTAGCTACTACATCTTTGCATATCCTATAAAAACTTAATATAGTACACTGGATTGTGAATACCATATTGAGTTAATAAGCCTAGTGAGACATTTAGTTTTCATCTTTCATTTAGAGTATTGTGACTAAGCTACTTTTAAGAGAATTGAATTATTAAGTTTGAAATCACAGAAATGTCTCATGCATGTAAGCATTTATGCAGAAATGTTAAACCATATTTCAGTATAAGCAGTTGGAAAATTAAACATTTATTTGAAATCAATAATGTAGCTATTTGATTTGACATAATTTAAACTGTCCAGCACATGTCACCAACAGGAAGATCAGTGGAATAGTATTGATAGGCCACACTGTAACATGTAAGCTATAATAATTTAAGACATTAAAAAACAAGCACGGCAAGTTCATAAAGAATGAAAAAATCACGACAAATGGTGTTAAGTCAGCTGGCTAGTACTCTGGGAGAAGATCAATGTACTGCTGAAACTTACAGCAAATGCTGAGATAAATTTCAGAAGTAATCAACATTTTAAGATGTTTAAAATATTACTGAATATTCATCAGACTTTTGAATTGATAAGAAAATTTTATAAGAAAAAGAAAAATATAGACATATAGTATCCAATTTTTTAACATTTACTGTCTAAAAATATATAAATACATTACATATATGTAATTAAAGCAATTAGACAAATGACTAGGAAACTAAAGAATCAACAGATAAATAAAAAAGCGCTAGTTCACAAAAGACCACCACCAGTGGCTTACACATATGTAGACATGTTCTGTCTAATCAAAGTAAACATACCAATCAAATAAAGAACTGTAATGCATTTTAATCTAGCAGATTATTTTTTAAACTAATAATCAATACAAATGAAAGTGTAATAAAACAAGTACTGTATATTGTTGGTAGGCCAGAGTTAGTTCAGAGGTAACTATGGCCTAGCAATCTCTTTAAAGAGTAACTTGTTATTAATACTTTTATTTCTATTTGATATCAAAACTTTAAAGCAATGTATTCTGAAGAAAAAGTAATTATAAATGTGTTCAATCTCTATGAATAAAATACCTAGTCAACATTATTCATAATTTTAAAATGCTAGGAAGCAATTATTGTAAAAATTAATAGCATTTTATATAGTCATAATAAATTAGTTTTGTGGGAATTTAGAATAATCAAGGTCTGCAAAGATGAAAAGAGGAAGATAGAAAACTATATATGTAATAAATTACTTACATAGAAAGCTGTATGGCATAAATATATAGATATTCATATTATCATTAAAATCATTTTTAAAATTCTATAGATAGAAAAAAAGACATACCTCAAAGTGCAGTGATTTTTCCTTCCTTGATATGCTTTTCTATTTCAAAATAAGAAAATTCATAAAAATATTACATATAAAACTCCTATGGTGAATAGTATTTTAATTATTTAATCATTCTTTTGTGTGACATTAGCTTATGGTAATTCCCATCACTGCATAAATAAAGTATCATTTTTATTAAGAGGTTTGAAGCTCAAGAGGATATGGAATGATTTGGAGTTTATTAAATTGTGATTTGCAAAATGGGACTTACGAAGAAGACAGGAAATGTGTGGGAAATTTTATCTTAGGAAAAAAGAAAATCAAGAAACCTTATAATATGTAAGAATCCCTAAAAAGTCAATATGGAGATAGATATTTTTGTAAGTCATATACTAACACTTTATTATTAAAATAGTAATTAACCTCTATTTTACTTTGACTGCTATTCTGCTTTTCCAATATTGATAACACGTTGACAAATAGTATTTTCAGGGTAATTGAAGTGATACTGCTTTACTAGCCGAATGAACTGATACAATTTAAAAGTACCATATGGTATCAAACATATCCACTCTCTTTCTATCTGTCATTATCTGTCTAACAATGTATCATCTCTCTACCATTTATAGTATACCAGAAGATGACATAATACACAAATCTTCAGATATCCAAATAAAATAATTTTAAAGAAAAGTTTACTTACAGTATTATGAAGTATTTATTTTTCTAAGTATTTGCTGGCTGTTTGAGAAATATAAATAAATATGACAAAATGTATTTTGTGATAAGAACAGATTTTTTAAAAATCATGATAAGTACTCTCATATTTACTCAACTAAATAAAGATTGTATTCCAAGTACTGGAAAGACTTCTGAAAAACTTTCACAATGATTACATCACTATATTGCTATATAGTAGTAGTCTCTGTGCTGTAAACATAATGAAGAATATTCTTTGAACATTAATAACAAATAAAGTGTGGCTTACAGCTTTGTAACTGCCTTCCTCCTCGATATGATGATGTTTACACTGGATTTAGAGAAAGATAAAAACATTTACATAACTATTCTAAATAAAAGTAATTTGGGGAGATGCAAAAAGATACACAATTAGCTAACATACAGGTAAATATAGTCAGTCTAATTGAATAAAACACCCAAAGCAGAGGTGAAAACCAATGGTTACCTTTAAGAGACATTTTCTTTTCTTTAGGAATACACTGCTCTCTGCATATTATTTGCCAATAATGTGTCACATGGCCACTCGAAATTACAAATTACCTTTCTGAAACATTTCAGTTCTGTTAGTAAGAAAAAAAAGGTAGAGTATATAGAGAGCACTACCACATTTGCTTCTACAAGGAGATTTACAATGCAACCTCCACTTTCATTGATCAGTGCAAGTCTGTGCTTTTCATCTTTTTGTAGGCCCATGTGTAGAGATTTACAAGAAAGGGTAGGAATGAGGAAAGGTGGTAAGAAGAGATGACCTGCAGTTCAATTATATTATGCAATTAAAACAATAGAGAGATTGGAGTGGAGAAGGACAGACTCCTTTGCCATTAACTTTTAACTCAAAATCTTGGTGGAAAAACACTTTCATAGCAATTGTGTTCTTACACTCAATAAATCAAAGACAACTTAACTTCTAAAATATGCAAGGGAGAGTAGGAGTCAAAGAAGCCAGTCCGCTACAAGCGACAGCAAGGCTAGTAGGGGAAGTTTTCTCCATGGCAAAATAATCTGCAGTTGTATGTTCCACAGAGGATATGGCATTCCATTTAAAAGAAGTATTTTACCAAGGCTCTGGTCAGTGCTAACCGGGAAGAAAAGGTGAAAATCATCAGGATATCTTGAACCTCTCATCAATTTGAAGTCTAACTATCTTAATAATATTTAAATTAATAATAATTTTTAAAGCTAACAGATTTCATTTGCGATAGAATGATGTAGTAACTAACCTTTTCTGAAAAAGAAACCTGTGTCTTAATTTTATGTATTTTCTTCTGTCTCTCATGCATGCTAACCTCACATATATTTAAAACATTAAAGTGTTAATGGGTCTGAAAGAACTACCAGTGCTTATACACCTATATAAAAATTCAACAAGTCAACATTTTACATGTAGTTATTATTAGTTGATCAAAGCATGAATATTTCAACTTCAGTGCATAGTCTTTTTTATTCACTGATTTTATTTTACTTTGCTGTGAGCATTTTGGATATTAATGATTTTATTCTGTTTTACAGGAGGGGTTCAAAATGGGACTAACTCTTGAAGGCACAGTATTTTGTCTCGACCCATTAGACAGTAGGTGCTGACATCAAGAACAAGAAATCCTGATTCATGTTAAATGTGTTTCTATACACATGTCATTTATTATTACTTTAAGATAGGTATTATTCATGTGCCAATATGTTTTTGAATATTTTAATATTTTGAAAATTTTTTCAGTTAAATTTCCTCACCTTCACTATTGATCTATAATTTTTATTTTAAAAACAACTTACTATAAAGTAGATCATACTTTTATGTTCCTTTCTGTTTCTACTGTATATGAATTTGTAATTGAAAGACATATTATACAAATACCTGCCTTGTGTCTGAGTTCTATTTAGTTAGCATCTTGAAACTTGTATTCATTTTCCAGATTGCTGGTTTATTAATGATTTCCCAAAAGCCATACCTTAAAGATAACTTTTTAAATTCTGAAGAGATATGCCAATGCCAAACTAAACATGGTCTATTTTCAAACCAACAAACATGTTACTATTCATTAGACAGATGTCATTTTATGTATAAATACTGTTCACATCACTGGGAAAATGTAAACTTTAAACATAATGCCACAAGGTCACTAATTTCTAGCAGGTAAAATTATAAGGATATAAATTCCAATAATAAACCAAATGTATTTAGAGTATTTATTAGTAAATGCAAGGTGATGTTAGTTATGATCAGTTATACTCTAAATATTTAATTTGTTTTATAAAGATAATGAAAAAATGAAAATTTGCTATTTATTAAAAAACTTTAAATTTCATTCCAAATGAGATAAGTTATATTACTATAACATCTAAGCATCATCTGATTTGATATTCCCTAAAAAACATTTGGAATATATGCTATCTATAGATTCAGTGTCTATTACCCATATTTACTTTACCAAATATATTTCTTCTCACTACGTAAGGACTACTCTTCTCATATTTTCTTTGATGAAGATATTTTTCACCAAAGTTTATTTTGTGATGCCCCATTGGTTTTGATACTTTAAAATCTGTGACACCCATTCTATATGAATTATCAATATTATTTGGTAAATTCAATTTGTATTTGTTTTGTTAAAGTCAAAAATCTCATTAAAAAAAAAACCTCGTTACTGCTCAGTTTAGTCTTGAACATGAGCAATAAAATTCTCCTGCATTTCATTCTTGATGTGCTGATGAACTTAGACTTTTAAAAATATTTGTTTCCTATACCTTTACCCATTACATAACAGACTAATTTGTACTCAGTAAAGCAAAAATTTATGATCAAAATTTCTAACTTGGTTCATCACATTATAAGATAAGTAAATTAAATTAATGAAAATGTGACTTAAATTAGGGGTAACCCTCAAAAATAGATTTATCATTTACTTATGGGAATTTTCTTCAAGTGTTAAAGGTACATTTTCACTAGGAAAAGAAATCAAATATGCTTATGCAATATATATTTGTCTGTTTTTCCTTAATGTTATATGGTATATATGAGCCTTCTTGTTTAGTTTCTTTTATCTGCTAAGTTGTACCTTAATTAGAGGACAATATATGTTTCATAAGGAAGAGTCTTTATAATTTTGTTTGTCAGATAGTATTTTGGAATTTGTATAATGAGGATGTTTAGAAGCCATATAAGTGGCTTTTTTTTAACAGATAGAATTTGTATTTTTATTGTACTTTAAAAAGATTTATGTAATAGGTATATATTTAGTGGCCATTTATTATCAATGGTAACACAATAGAGTACTGAGATGGTATTTGCACATTTAAGATCTGTTACTTTACCAATTTTTAATGGTAATCAACTCTGCTACTGGCATGATGAAATAGTACATAATTGGTCATTAATTATGAACATTTATTTCTCCAGTGCGTTTTTATGAAGATCTGGTTGAAAATTGTATTTCTATGTAAACTCAATGATATGTTTGGTTTTCCTGAAAATAAATGATTTTAAATAAATTAAATTGCATAATTCATTTGTTAAATAATCTGTAATTAATATAGACACATTCTGAAGCTAATTATTGAACAGATTTTCTTGATCATAAATGGAGCTAAAAGAAAGGGAGAGAGTCAGAGAGAAAGGCAAAGAAGAAATAAACGGCTTTACCTTTAACTTCATTTCTTGCAGCCCACACACATTTTAGCTTTATGAGCAAATGTCATTCAGTTGTGAAAACAGTGGACTGATCCTGCTGGTGAGAGAGGTCATGATTTGCTTCCTTTTACCAGAAGCATCTGGTGCAAAAACTGTATTATGTAAATATCAATTTTATAACTGGAGGCTTTTTTTAACTTAGCAGTAATGCAAAGGGTGTCTTGGCCGACAGTTTTATAAAGGTGGAACTTGATAATAGGATGCGGATTATGACTAAGAGTACAATCATGAAGAAGTTTTGAATCAATTTAAAACACGATGTTAAGTATTTTATGGACACGGGACTCACATGCATAGCCTTTGAACACCAAGGAACAATTCATCAATTCATTCTATAAAATTCATTTATTACTCACTTTATATGAATAACATGTACTTTATGGGGTAAGAAAACATCTAGCAAGTTTGCTAACATGTGTTAGCAGGTAGCGTTAAATTGACAGGATCCCTGATTTCAGTCAGTTTATTGTCATAAAGTAAAAGTATGAGAAGCATATAAGTTAATGAATAAAAGCCAATATGTATTACAACACTGTGTGAACCAAAAACTTCCCCAGGAACACTTATATTTAAGTATGTTTAAGTCTGGGTACCTCGTACTGGCTGATGTCAGCTATCAGACATCCAGTGTGAAGTTTATCAGAATAGCCCAATGGCAAAAATTTTCTTCATCTCTTTTTGTTCTTTTATTTGGATTTGGATTTTTCTTAAAAAAATGAATAATATTATGGGAATGTATTTTCAGTAGGATTTCTGATAGATAATATGTTGCATTTCTAAATAATGATTTTTTTTATTCGTTTTTATGTTACTTAGCATAACCCTGAAAAAACTGGCTGTTAATGTTTTTCTATTCCAATGTTTCCACATATACTTCCAGATTCAATATTTACTCATGATTTTGGGCTTCATCCTCTGTTAAATTACTTGAAGAATCTTGGAGTCATTTTTGACAACTGAATTTCAGACTCCACCTAAACTACACCCTTTATAGGGAGCTCATAAATGTGATTGTCACAGTTGGAACTGCCCTTGGACCCCTGTGTCTCATGCAGAAAGTGTCTTCTTCCTATATAACTTCAGACAAATATTTAAAATCTCCTCCCTCTAATGTCCATCTCACAAATTTGACACAAACTTTAATTCTTGTACATTTATTTCATGTTTTGATCTTTTGTTGTTAAGGTCCGTGATAATCCACTAATGAAACTCCTTCCCCAAAAGCATAATTTCTCTAGAATTCCAAGTGGGATTTTCTTAATCTAGCAAGAACACAACCTCCTAAAATCATTCATGGTCTATTTTCTTGCTTTCAAAATACAGTTTAAGAACTACGAATATTATGTAAGTAGCAGACAGTATTGTCTTTCTCTGGATTCATTTTGTTCTGCTCTACTTCTTAGCTTCTAATCAATACTTCTAATCAATACTATGCCAATTCTAATGGCATACTTAAGAAGGAGTTGAGATTAAAGGCTCACTTTCCATTTTTCTGACATTACATGATAAATTGAAATAACCAAATTTCTTCTTTCTGTATCATTAACATTGTGTTTTTTGTCAGTTAATAGTACCACCAAGACTATGTAACACAAATTTTGTAAAAATTTATTTTCTTTACCTTAGCTATATTTTTGGCATTCATTCAGATCTACATGCCAAGTTCATTGAACCAAATCTTCTAGTTTTCAAGCAGTTCTATAGACACCTTGGAATATTCATTAAGACTTTTAAAGGTTTATGTTTTCATTCAAGAAGGCCTGATTAGAAGCTATAGAAGTTGTCTTCTTAAAAATATTTTCCAGTACCTGCTGGAATAACAAAGTTCTCCAAGAAAGAACACTCTGAAATCTCATATTTTCTTAGTACCTTGGACATAATCAACTTATGATAGTATATTTTGTAAAATCAGTAAGATATTGTCTAAGAAACATCTTTCTTTTTGTATTTTTAATAAAACATTTTTTAAAAAGTTTGCTCTCCATTTTTCAACCATTTTGAAGAAAGTATTGCCTTGACATCCTTCCTCTTTGTTACCAAGTACAACACTTTGTCCAAAGGCATTCATTAAAAGATTGCATATTTATTTAGATGCTTCTTGCTAATGATGTGAACTTAAATGTTTTATGTTCTCTTAGAAAAGAACAGCATGCCTTCAAATAAATGTTGGGAGAAGATAACCATTATCTAATTTCCAATAAAATATTTATTATTATTTTAACTTCTATTGTAGCAATAATTTGCTAAATAAATCTCTTAGTAATTATTGAAGTTTGTCTAACAATCACCATAGAATCGTAGACTAAGGATGTCTGGCCCAATTGATAGAGGAAAAAAGAAAATAATGGTTACTTAGTGTCAAAGAGGCTATAACGATTCAAACATGAATGTTATGTAATTAAGGGACAGGGCCCGTGCTCACGGGGTTAGATATATATATAGCTTGTATATGAAAGAATGACAGCTAAAAACTCTAACTTTTCTTGAATCCCGTATTGTGGTCACACAGGTTTTACTGGTTTGACATATTTTTAAGTTCATATTTCTGTCCTTAACTTTTTATTGTCCTCTTATTTCAAATGAGCTTTCAGAAGAACATGTTGGGGTCCTTCCCAACTGCCTACTCCCTCCCCTCTGTCTGGCCAGGCTGTTATGTTCTAGTCTGTTCCAAAGGTCACTTGTTCCAGTTGAAATAGCTGTCTGGATGGCTTGGAACTAATCCAGACACTGGTTCTTTCCTGCAGAGAAAGCAAAGATAGATGTTTGTTTCTTGGCTACATTTTGAAGGGAAAAAATAAAATAATTTTATGGCTGGACCATGCTTGGAAAAGATCATATAATTCTAGAACCCAGTTAAAATTGTTATTATTTTCCAATATTTTGTGTCTATTTTTATTTTTATATACTTTTCAAAATCAGTTGTTTAGTATCAGTATCATTAGGTAAATAGGCAGTTGTGTGTCAGAAGTATATACAGATACATTTTGGTACATTTTAATTAAATACTAATCTCTCTCTCTCTCTCTCCTTTCTCACATACATACACACTCCATTTAACTATTCAGTTCTTTATGTTATTCTTAGTAGCTGCTTTAACTAAAGAAAAATAAACTTGAGTCAGGCTAGACAGTACAAGGAATGGAGGAGACAGGTAGTGAGGGGATACTCATAAATCTTCATAGATATCAACTTACCCACACTTGGCAAAGTGGCTGTGTGCACATATTTGACCTCTTCATTTTTCAGACAAGTTGAACCATTTTCGGACCAGGGAGTACTAAGAATGATGCAGTTATCTGAAAAGTTGTTTCTACAGTGATTTCTCTTTAATCTCCCCTAGTTTCCCCATAATGCCTGCAGTTGTCTTTTCTACATAAAAGGAATTAAACAGAAAAATTGCTAAAAATAAGCTGGTTACTGTTTCATGACTTCCAGCCACCAATGGCAATTAGAAAAACAAATATTCCTTCCTTGAAATCACTTGAGTTTCTAAATTTCTAAACCATACAGCTCTTGAATTTTTAAGTAACTTTTTAAAAGATTACTTACAATGAACAAAGCCAGATCTACAGGGAACTGTTGAACTAAATTGTAGCACTCTATGCTTTGATGTCACAGCTTTGCTTACAGCATTAATTCAGCATTCTTTGACTTTGGGAAATTCATGTAATGGGGTTTTATGTCCCTTGACATTCACAAGCATTAGCCATTCTAGGCATAAAGAAAAAGGAAGAAATTCCCCCAAATAAACCTAAGATTTAAAAAAAAATTATCAGAAGAATCATGTATTTTACATTCTTTAACTTGCCTACTAGTTGTAAATAAATATCGAATCAATGGCTTCTAAGTAAATAGTGTATCTGGCTCAGAATTAGAGATAATAATAGTCTTGAAAAAAAGGACAGGAGCCATCACAAAAATGTTCAAGCCTTTGAATCTCCTTATTGTAGAAATACTTTATGTAAACTATTTCTCTTCATAACACTCAAAGTTGAATGCAGGGCAAAAGTATCATTCTCTCTTTTCTCAACCTTTCTTGCTCCTAGGTACACATTTAAAGACAGACCTCAGCATATATTTACACTGGAAAAATGGAGCCTGTGTTTCTCTACAAAAGTATTAATGGCCTACCACATTTTCAGGATGACTTCAAGATGAATAAGGCATGTCTCAAAAGAATTCCAAGGCTCCCCCTCTTTCCAAGTGAATATTAAACCTTGAAAATGCCAGCAAAAAAAAAAAAAGAAAAAAGAAAAAAAAAAAAACAAAGCTGAAACATACAAGATAATACTACATCGAAACACCAAAACACAAGTATTCTTACATGTACTCACATGGATAGAAATATTTAGATTCACAGAGAAGTTGTCCTATACTGGGATTTCTCAGGAACTTGCATGTATATGCTTAGGTTTTGTAATGTGTGTGAATATGAATATTAGAATACTTTCTTGAAATAGATTCAAATAAAACTTGCCTTTGACATGTTGAGTTATACTCTTTGAATGGCCTTTTTGGTAGTTTTCTTGTTTATTTTACCTGTAAAGGGAAGGGAAATGCAGAGAATATAAAAGTCCTCAGCATGGTGTTAAATCTTCCAAAGGCAGCATTGCCCTGTGCATTTCTCATCATTTTGCATCCCTTGATCCTTAATCATAGAGCTAAAGCTAGAGAAAACAGCTGGCCCTGAAAACCACAAAGGGCTCAAGTATTTATTATGTTATGCAAATTGATCAAAACTCTCCAACTTTTTAGAAAATAATTTACAAAAAGAAAGAAACCTAAAACAGTACTTCTTAACAAACA